GCGGTAACCCTTGACGATCGACTCATTCAGTCTCGTACGGCCGTCGGTGGGCCGATCGTGCAAACTTATCAATCGCGTTCGCACTCGATCGCGTCGCTCGCGGTTCAACGACGACGACGCTGTCGATTCGATCGATCGAGCGTGCACGCGTCGCAGAAGCTCGTCCGTCGTATCGATCGTGAAATCGGGCTCACTGTGCAGACTCATCAATTGCGCGAACAGGTAGTCGGTGTACAGATCGTACGCCGGTGTCGAGAAAGGTGTCGTCTCGGTGTCGTCGGTAGTCATCGCGCAAGGGGGGACCTGTTTGAATCGGCATCGACGTCGAATCTCTCTCTCTCTCTCTCTATCTATCTTCGAATGAACGCCGGTTTCCGATTGCGCGGTCGCGCTCGCGTCGTCTCGTCGATCGCGACGCGCGCCGCTCGTTGGTTGCGCTTAGAGATTCGCACGACCGAGACTGCGATCTCGGACAGGCGCGAACGAGCGGCCGCCAAACGATTCCTGCGTCGATCTTGCGTCGCCGTTGTGAACGGCACGACGCGCGCGGACGCCGTTGCGACGACAGACGCGTCGTCGCTGGATCGCTACGATGATTCCATTGTTCGATTCGTCATCGTGTGCGCAACGATCGCCGCGATGGGCGCGGTCGCGTCGTTGTCGGATTTCGTGCGCGTCGCACTCGCGGCGTCGTCGATACTCGCGACGTTGACCCGGTGCGCGTCGCGCAAGAGAGAGACGTTCGCTCGTTGTCGTCGAGAACTACGTTGCGACGAAATCGCGAACGAGACGCGACGAACTGATGACGTCACGAGACTGCGCGCCGACGACGCGTCGTTCGATTGGATACATCTGTTCGAATTGAGTCCGTCGTTCGTGGAACTTTACGTGCGGATCTGCGCGATCGCGGAATCGCGCGCTCTCGACGACGATGGTACCGGAAGGATGAACGATGTCGCGACGAAAGGGAGAAGAACACGATCACGGAAGGAGGATCACCGCCGTTGCGCCGGCGAAGAACTGGACGGTCACTTGGTTCTGTGGCGCGAAGCCGATCGTTTTACTTCGTCACCGTACAAACGATGGTTCGCCTCTCGTCTGGCACGTTATCGCGAACGCGAGATCGATCGTTTTTGCGAGCGATCGCGTCGCGATTTCGCGTCGAGCGCTGTCGTTGCCGCGGTCGCCTTGAATCGCCACTACTGCTACGGTTACTATGCCACGCGTACGTTCTCGTACGCGTGGATCCGACCACTGAGTAACGCGATTTCGCCGTTACACCAACAGTTGTACGTGCGCGGAGGATCGCGCGTAGAACGACGCTGCCATTGCGATCGCGCATGCCAAAAGATTCGCCATCGTCACGCGCGCGTTTGCGTACAATGTCTCGTTGGTCGCGCAGAGACACAATCCGTAGTGAATCGCGACGCTCAGTGCGAACTGCGTGAGCATCGCGATCCAGACCAGCGTCAGTTTCACCACTGGATAAATCGTCACCACCTCGACGTATCGGCGAGATCGACGCGATCGCGGCGAACGCTCGTCGTCACCGTCCTGCAGATCCGAGTCAACAACGGACGGTTCGTCGCCGAGTGACGACCGACGGTCCTCGTCGTCGTCGTCGTCGTCGTCGTCGTCGTCTCTTCGGTCGTTTCGCGATTCTTCGCGATTAGCGATCGAGCGAAAGCGCGATCGCGTTTGGCACAGCTATCGCGTCGTCGTCGTCGTCGATCGCGCCCTCGTCGATCGCGATTTTGCAGCCGCTGCGTTCGAGTGTGGTTTCGCCGATCATNTTGAACAACTGTTGTTAAGACATTTTTTATTTGCCTAATAATTTGTTTTAGAATATTTGAGGAAAACTAGATAACTTTTTTTAACTTACGATATCTCGCTATTTGTCGAAAGAAAAGTGGTACTAGCTTTTCTTGCTTTATTTAGTCTCAAGAATATATTATTATAATAAGTGCCCTAACTTTGTTAATTTAATAATTTTGAACATTTCCAAAGGTCGATAAGTTAACAAAAGTTAGGGCACTATTATAGTAATATATTCTGATATAAATAAAGTATAAAAGTCTAATACTATTTTTCTTTCGACGAATTGTTACCGAGATATCGTAAATTAAATGTTGAAAGTTACCAAGTTTTCCTTAAATATTTCAAAAAATATTAAGGAAATAAAATAATTCAGACAAAAGTTGTTAAAATTAATTGTAGAAAAAGAAGTATAATGAAAAATTGAGCTTTTCTATTAAAAAAAATTAAATTGACCTTCAACTGACCTTGAAAATACCTCCAAATAAAAACTGATAATGCCATCTTTCCCCTTCGAAATCATGGACAAGTTTTAGCTTATTTTTATATCTTTTCATAGTTTTCGAGATTTTTTACCCTGTTACGTTTAAAATTTACACCCTGTATAGTGCTAACAACGTGCCTACAACCTGTACAAAATGCTTCAGTATGCCTTACAAATATACAAAATCTGTTTTGATCCTACATCCATCCATGCCTACAACTTCGATATTTCGGCCAGCGCCTAAATTCGTATACTCATTTAATCATTGCCCTTAATTTTGTTGTGTCATTCAGTTTTTTGTGCTTTTATACAAGAAAACTCTTCCGAACTTTTGCAGGACTGTAAATCTTGCATATAGCATTATACGGCTGCGGAACTAATTATGAAAAAACTTATATTCACTTGAACGTAGCATCTTACAAAAGAAGGGTCTGACGTGTAAATATAATTTTTAGCTGCATCTCGTAGCGATAAGTATTCATGCACATTAGTATTAGGTAAAAGTATAATGAGTAAGAAAATTTTAATTCGCAAGAAAATGAAAATAAAAATTCAGAAGGCCTTATAACCAATTTAAATAAAGCGTTCAAGGAGTGCGTGGCGGAGCGGGAAGGCATGTCTGTGAAGTTAACATGTCAAACTATCAATATGAAAAAAAACAAGTAGAGTTCTAATAGCGCTTTTGATAGTTCTACAGTTCTCTATAACGAAAAAATGGTTCTGCAACAATACACCCAAAAAATAAAAATAAAAGTACAACGTGCTATGTTCGCACAGTTACCACGTCGCTTCTTTCTCTAACGTACAAGAAGCAATCAAAATTGCACTATCCGTAGATTTTTATCAAAAAATTAGTTTTTTCCCCACTGTGCGCCGTTCCGCGCTTAGCGGCCGAGGCGACAATCACGGGCCGCTGAGGTCCGTCGCTATATAAGAAATCAGCTGGAGCGCATCTTTGTGTCATATTATCATTAAACAACATAAACATATATTTTAAAGTAATTATTAAATGAGGAAAAAATTTTAATGATTTCCCGACAATAGTTGTCGCGAGCATTTTTGGTCTGTCTGTGTAGCCGCCGCAGTATATATGTCATTGACCGGCCGGTCATCCTCGCGTACCGCTTACGCGTCATGCGATATCGATATCGTCGTTAGGTCTAAAAAGTTCGGCGGCTCCTTTTAGTTTTAGATCATCAAAATACAAGCGCAACAATATAGAATGGCGAGGATTTGTAACCGTAATAAGTCAGGATGACATTTAACCCTTTGTGGTCGATGCCGCCACAGTGGCGGCATTCGCAAGTCGTCATAGAAGTCGGTGCCACCGGGCTGGCATTTATGATCGCCTGGCGCGCGGCACGGCGAACGAGGCTAGCGATAATGAAAGAAAACTATCCTCCCGATGCTAGATTCAAATGTTTAGATCAACTTATAGATATCAATGTTTATCGATCTCTTCGAAATCTGCCGACCGCAAAGGGTTAATCAATTTCATTAATTTAATTAATAGAATAAAAAATGCGTATCTTTGTACTTCATGTGCGTACTCTTATCTCATAGGTTGTCCCAAGAGTACGCATTTGCAGCATTTCACATTGTTAATTATTTGAAGCACTATTAATTCAATCTATTAATTCACTATTATATCAATTTCAATTTTTAGTAGTGTCAGTACACAGCAGATAACACTTCATATTCACTTCATATCAGTGTTAGTTTAAAGTAAGTATGTCGTATCGTTACAAATTGTACAGTGTACAATTAATTAAAATGTAAAAAATGCGTACTATTATCCGCATTTCCTCTATATAGAAAATAATTATTGCAGAAAGATCTACCTGTATTAAGTATCCATGTATTATATCTTGCATCCTTCTGCATTGGTAATTTGAATAATCGTTTTCCCAGTCGATTTTCCATTCTGACAATCTTTATACATGCACCCTGTTATAAAAGCTATCTTCTCAACATAGTCAACATAGTCTTTATATTTTTATTTGCAATGCAGTGCAAAAAATAATTTTAGATATGCGAGAAAAAATATATAAAAAGTAAGAAACTAAAAATGACAGAATAAAGAGAAAAATGGAAAAAGGAAAAAAAAGCAACACGTAAAAGGAAAAAAAAGAATGAATAAATGAACCAATACAATGAAGTATACATACCAATAAGGCGCATACAAATATATTTACTAATAATGGTATTGGGCAAAAAACCGTAATACGTGTTGCAAAAGAGACAGATGACGTAGATCTGAGAGATCGTTTAGAAACAAATGTTGTAAAACACTAATCTCACGAATGAAAAAAAGATTGCAGCTCAGGTCAAAATACTTATCACAAAGCACGAGTAGCGAAACACCGCTATAAACAAACGTTATTATGAACTTCGCGACGCAGATTGACTATTCTCGGTGACAGAGTCGCTATAGCGCAGTGCTATAGCGCTTCTTTTGTTTCAAATCGTCAAACGAATGATAAAAACAACGCTTGTAAAGTTTATTGACAACTTTTATACAAGTTAACTGTGGTGAAAAAAGTTGTGTTAACGTAAATAACTCGTGCATGAATCCACATGACATAAATTATGTGGATTCGACATGGATACAACGTATATCTTTTTGTCGTTGTTTATACCGTGCTCCTGTACGATTTATTTGTTTCAGAAAACGCGCGCACGTACGCGCAATCATAAACAATCCGCAACTATGTGCCTAGCGTGCTGCACATATTTTCCAGTTAGTTGGTGTCAGTAGATGTCAGTTGCTTAGTAGGTGTTAGACAGTGCATATGCGAGGATGTCGGCGAATGAGGTAAATATATATTTAACCGTTAAATATTAATTATATATATATATATATATTATAAATGCTTTTTTATAACAAATATGTTTCATGAATTATTTCAGAACGAGCTTAATACGATGACGACGACGACCGCCACAACGGTCACGATGCCCGCCACAACCACCACGACGCCCGCGACAGCCACGACGGCCACGATAGCGGTGTCTGAAAAAATTACTGGGGCGACATCGACGACGGCAGCGATGGCCACGACGGCGACCGAACCAATAACGTTAACAGTAAGTATAAAAATCTACGAGGGCAGTCTGAGAAGTTCTCGGCGTAACAATGAAAGAAAATTTTTTTTGCCGTGAAATATGTTTTATTTTTCAATATAATCTCCTAAAACTTCAATACATTTATTCCAACGTTTTTCCAATAATTCAATACCATCATTAAAGTGTGATTCCGGAAGGAATTCTTTTCGCTCTTGTGTATAGTGATGGATTCAAGTTTCATCAACAGTTATGAAACGACGCTTGAAATCTATTTTATTTTGCTTAAAACGTGCCAAACACGCTTGAGAAATACGCATTCGAATGCATTTTTGGTCAATTGTTAGCAAATGCGGCACCCATCTTGCACAAAGCTTTTTCAACTGGTGCTACTACTCGAATGACTTGACAGATCGAATAAAATTTTACATGGGTTTATATCAGGGATGCCACTTTCCAATACAATTATAGTTTGACAGTTTCTAATGCTATATATGTCAGGTCGAGAACTTTTCAGACTGCCTATGTATATATGTCTAAAGCCCAGTTCCACAACCTCTGTATAACTTTAACTACTGATTAAATGCCAATAGTGATCGTTTAATTCTGATTAATTCTTAACGCATTAATTCAAATGCAGTTGGTCAAGTCTAGTGAAATAACCAGCTGGTTAAGTTAACTAGAAGTTGTGAAACTGGGCCTAGACGCTAATCAATACCCAGTAAACATATATGTCTAAAAGACGTCTAAAAGATTTCTTTAAGACATTTTTTACACATACAAGTCTAAAAATTGTCTTAAAGAAAGCTTTTAGACGTCTTTTAGACATGTATGTTTACTGAGTACATTATATTAAATTGTAACTTCTTATTTAACTCTTTACTTCATATTTTAATATTATCTTATTGTTACAGGCTGAAGCGTTACAAAATATTATACAAACAGCACTAATAGCTGTTTTAGGAAGAGCAAGAGGAAGAGGAAGAGGAAGAGGGACAGGGAGAGGAAGAGGAAGAGGTGGAAGCGAAGATGCGGGAAGAGGAAGAGGAGAATGGAGAGGAAGAGAAAGAGGAAGAGAAGAATGGAGAAGAAGAGGCGAAGGAATGCCCAACATTAATATATATATGACACAGTAACAACACACACACACACACACACACACACACACAAAAGCAAATAAAAAATTAAAAATATAAAAATAAAAAAAAACCATTTCATTTATTCATTTCTTATATCCAAAGTTCCCAAATAATTTCCTTTCCTAATTACGTGAAACGCAGTGCATGAAATATTGCAACAAACACAATATTACATATAACGTGCATTCATTTTTTATATTATTTTTCTTATATATTGTTATCATTTATGATATTTCCTTAAAAGTATTATTCATGATTGTGAAAATGGCTTTTTTGTATACGGTACTTCAAATTCGATAATCTTATTTACAATTCTATCGAATAATTATTTTGCTCATCATATCTTGACTGTTATACATACTGAAAGAAAACTGATAAAGATCTTAATTCATAACTATTATATAACATTTGTGTTATATAATAGTTATATTGTTGAATAGGAAATTACACCTAACATGCACATTATACAGGGTGAAGAAAAACCCCGAGAGCCCTGAGAATTTCGAAAAATATACACTTTATAAAAAAATGTTTCAGACAAAAGTTGTAGCGTTGAAAGAGATCTATTTATCGATCTTAATAATTTGACCTTGGGTGGCGTCATCAAGGCAAGGACAAGGTCACCTCGGATTTTTTTAATGGAACCCGCAATTTTTTATTACATATTCTTATAGCCCTTCTTCAGACCTTTTCAAAGCATTATGGTTTTATCCAATTTGAATAAGCTGTTCCGAAGTTATCGAGTTTTTTAAAGTAAGATATCTAGCCAACTAAGGCAAGATTGGAGGATGATCCAGCCAACTAAGGCAAGATCGGAGGATGATCCAGCCAACTAAGGCAAGATCGTAGGATGATCTAGCTAACTAAGGCAAGATCGGAGGATGATCCGGCCAACTAAGGCAAGATCGGAGGATGATCCAGCCAACTAAGGCAAGATCGTAGGAAGATCCGGCCAACTAAGGTAAGGTCGGGAGTTGTCCGGCCAACTAAGGCAAAAAGCAAATTACTAAGTAAATGGAAGAAATAAATATCGAACAGCAGAATAGTTCAAGTAAATAAATAACTGAAATTAATCAATCAACGAAATTAAGACAAGCCAATAGGAGTCAACGCCTGGAAGTTAGTCGCGCAATTATTTTTACGAGTTGGCTAGATCATCCTCCGATCTTGTCTTAGTTGGCTCGATCACTTCGACTTTGCCTTAGTTGGCCGGATCATCCTCTGATCTTGCCTTAGTTGGCCGGATCATCCTACGACCTTGCCTTAGTTGGCCGGATCATCCTCCGATCTTGCCTTAGTTGGCTAGATATCTTACTTTAAAAAACTCGATAACTTCGGAACAGCTTATTCATATTGGATAAAACCACAGTGCTTTGAAAAGGTCTGAAGAAGGGCTATAAGAATATGTAATAAAAAATTAGGGCTTCCATTGAAAAACTCCGAGGTGACCTTGTCCTGACCTTGATGACGCCATCCAAGGTCAAATTGTTAAGATCGGTAAATAGATCTTTTTCAACGCTACAACTTTTGTCTGAAACATTTTTTTATAAAGTGTATATTTTTTGAAATTTTCAGGGGTCCCGGGGTTTTTTCTTCACCCTGTATATAATATTGTGTTTGCTGAGATGATTCCTCCTGATGATATATATAATTTTTACTATATTCTGTGTAGTAGCTCAGATATGAACCAAACTATTACAGACAAACCTCGTTACCGAGCGACATAGTAGACGTCGACGTAGTTGACGTCTATTTTCTCAGGGGGCGCGTCGAATTCAAAAAAATTTCTGAACCTTCGTTGATGGCCGCTCTCAAGTTTCTCTCTGCTTCAACCCATCCTACCTGTTCGAGTCTTTTGTTCGTCTCTGTGGCGGTTGGATCGTTGGATGTGGTTCCTGTAACTACGCATATTTTTTGATCGTGGGGGACTGCGTACGCGTTGCCCCTGTGTTTTTCTTTTACCTTCATACTACTGGAAAATAGTGTATAGACAAAGTTGAATGCAGTCCGGAGTCATATATTGAACTAAACTAAACTAAACATCGTATCTGCTCTTTCGCACTCTTTCGTACTTCGAGGATCCGTAAACATGGCACCGGTAAGTTTGTGCTTTGTCGGAAATGCTAATATTATTGGCAATTATGGTGAAATTTGTTCGGAATAATATTAAAATCGTGAAAAAGCATGTGTGATTTGTCAATTGTGCTATAACGATCTTATTTTATTTTAAGATCGGCCCGATTATGTTGGATTAGTATGTCTGACACACCGCATGATCCCGCCTGTGTTCCATACAAAAGTAACAAAAGTAATATCATTGTGTAAAATGTCATGTTTACGAATTTTTAGGCACCGAAGAAATCGAAGGGTCCCGCGAAGAAGCAAGTCCTTCGCGGCAAGGGACAAAAGAAGAAGGTGTCCGTGAAATTCACAATTGACTGCACTCATCCTGTGGAGGATAACATCATGGATGTAGCTAATTTTGTAAGTTACATAGCATTATCTCAACATTTAATGTGTATTACAATATACCTCTCCCAAGATATAAATACACTACTTAAATCCTTATTTCATATCTAAATCGTTACCACAACTTATTCGCTTGAATTCATAACCTATACGTACCAGCCTGCCACCAGCATGTAAAAATGATTTGTTGTAAATTGCGATGACTGATTAGATTTTGGTATTCTGCCACCGTTGTCAAAATTAATAATTACAAAATATTAATTTTAGGAAAAGTATTTGCACGAGAGGATCAAAGTTAACGGTAAGACAGGTAACTTTGGTAACAATGTTACTTTGGAGCGCAACAAAATGAAACTTTCCGTCAACAGTGATGTTGACTTTTCGAAGCGGTGAGTAGCATCGTGTTTCTTTTACACACAATTAAACACAAAATTGACCATCATAGATTTATGAATATTACAGTGATATTATTATTATAGTGATTATTAAGCAACGTTACTATTATAAGCTATAGGAAGAACTATATTTGCACTAATCTGGAAAACTGTGTTTTGATAGGTACCTCAAATACTTGACAAAGAAGTACTTGAAAAAGAACAAGTTACGTGATTGGCTGCGAGTGGTATCAAAAGACAAAGATACCTATGAATTACGATACTTCCAGATCAACAGCCAGGAAGATGACGATGAGGAGGATGCTGAGTAGTTTATTTTTGTTTACATTGAGCTTCAGATGTATTTGTAAATAAATTACTAATAAACAAAATCCACCATTTTCATATTTGGAGTTCATCTCTATTGGAAACCTGCAAATAGTTTACAAATTATGTATTAAATATTAATATATTTATACACGTGTACTTACACATTAATTTGTACTCTACAACTATATTACGAAATATTCGGTAAATGTCTTGCATATATTTTTAATCATGTAAAATTCTGCGTGTGATCTACTTATTAATAACTCTCGATTAAGTTAGTCATCGATTAGCTTAAGGCTCCAATGGTGCGATTCTTTAACTCGTTATTGGAGTTAACGACAGTTTCATCATCGTTGCACAGCTTTTCTACGGTATACAAAAGCTGCACAACGATAACGAAAATGTCGTTAACTCCAATAACGAGTTAAAGAATTGCGCTACTGGGTCGCTATGGCCATATTGGATTTGTGACGTCATAGATGAGAAATGTCACGCTGAAAATTCTTGCGTGCTATTTCAAAATAATAAGATATTCCTCCAAAACGATACTCGAAATGGCTTCAGAACACTTGTAAAATGTTCCGAGTTTTCTCCTTTTGCTTCAACAGTTAACACAGAGCTCTAAAATGGGCCGTGAAAAGAGGCTTATTCACGCAAAAAAACGTGTGGTCGAAATCAGCTGATCACACCAGTAGAAATTATGCTCCCACACATCGTATTTCACAAAAAGCCGAAAACTCGGAATTTCTTACAGGCTTCCTGAATATGTCACACGTCACAGAAGTTCACTAAAGCGAATCCACTCTATAAAAATGGCATGTTAACTGCATGAATTTATTTTATATCGAAGTATTGGAGCCACTTTTCCGCGATGCTGATTCGAACTCTCGATACCACGTTGCGGCCGGTTTCATGTCGTTTGCGGCTATCATCGCGGTGAATGACAGCTGCGGGTTTTATCAGGGTATATCTTTCATATATGTAATAGTTTTTTAATGTGTGTGAGAGGGAAAGTGTGTGTGCGTGTGCGTGTGCGCGCGCGCGCGCGCGCGTGTGTGTGTGTGTGTGTGTGTGAGTGAGTGAGTGAGTGAGTGAGTGAGAGAATAAGAGGGAAAGTGATAGAGTGAGAGAGAGAGAGAGAGAAAGAGAGAGAGAGAGATTGTGTGTGAAAGAAAGAGAGAGTGTGTGTGAGAGGGAGAGAGAGTGTGTGAGAAAGAGACAGCGTGAGAGAGACTGAGTGTGAGGGAGAAAGAATGAGAAGGAGAGAGAGAAAGTATGAAAGAGAGATTGTGTCAGAGTGCGAGAGAGAGAACGAGTGTAAGAGAGAGGAGAGTGTGAGGGAGAGAATGTCAGAGAAGAAGAGTGTGAGAGAGTGAGAGTGTGAGAGGGAGAGAATGTAAGATTGTGTGTGTGTGTGTGAGAGAGAGAGAGAGAGAGAGAGAGAGAGAGAGAGAGAGAGAGAGAGAGAGAGAGGGAGAGAGAATGTGTGAGAGAGAGAGAGAGAGAAGAGAGGAGAGGGGGAGAGAGAGAAAGAGAGAAGAGTGTGAAAGAGAGTGTGTGAGAGGGAGAAGGGGAGAGAGAAAGAAAGGGTGAGAGAGAGCATGTGGCAGAGAGAGAGTGTATAAGAGGGAGAGACATCGTGCGAGAGGGGAGTGTGTGAGTGTGTCAAAGGGAGAGACAGTGTGTGAGTGTGTGAAAAGGAGTGATAGAGAGAGAGAGAGAGAGAGAGAGAGAGAGAGAGAGAGAGAGAGAGGAGGAGAGGAGAGAGAGGGGGGAGGGAGGTGGGAGAGGGGGAGGGAGGTAGGGGGAGAGAGAAAGAGTGTGAGAGAGGGAGAATATGAGAGAGATTGTGTGAGAGAGAGTGTGAGAGAATGAGAGATCGTGGGAGAGAGAGAAAGGAGAGTGTGAGAAAGAATGGGAGAGTCAACGGAGAGGGGCGAGAGAGAGGAGTGTGAGAGAGAGGATAGTGTGAGAGAGTGTGTGATAGAGGGAGAGAGAGAGGGAGTGTATGAGAGAGAGGGTGGGGGAGCGAGGGAGTGTGAGAGAGAATGTTTGAGAGGAGAGAGGGAGTGAGAGAGAGAGACACAGAAAGGGAGGGATATAGGTGAAGTGTAAGAGAGAATGTGAGAAAAAGAGTGTGTGAGAGAAGGAGAGAGAGAGGGGAAGAGAGAGGAGAGGGAGAGAGAGAGAGAGAGGGAGAGAGAGAGTGAGCGGGTGTGTAAGAGTGAGAAAGGGCGTGTGTGTGAGAGAGTGAGTGTGAGAGCGAGAGAGAGTGTGAGGGAGAGAATATGAGAAAGAGATTGTGTGAGAGAGAGGCAGAGAGAGAGAGAGAGAGAGAGAGAGAGAGAGAGAAAGAGTATGAGAGAGAGATTGTGTGAGAAAGTGTGAGAGAGAGAAAGAGAGCATGAGAGTGGGTGTGTGGGAGGGAGAGTGAGAGATAGAAGAACAGAGAAAGGAAGAGAGAGTGAGACAGAAGGAGGGAGAGAGAGGGAGGGAGTGAGAGCGAGTGTAAGAGGGAGGAGAGTGTGAGAGAGAGAGCTCTATGACGTCACAAATCCAATATGGCCGCAGAGACCCAGGAGCCTTAAGCTAATCGATGACTACCTTAATCGAGAGTTATTAACAAGTAGATCACACGCAGAATTTTACATGATTAAAAATATATGCAAGACATTTACCGAATATTTCGTAATATAGTTGTAGAGTACAAATTAATGTGTAAGTACACGTGTATAAATATATTAATACTTAATACATAATTTGTAAACTATTTGCAGGTGTAAGATCTCTTTAGGATTCTATAGGTCGAACAAGATCTCTATCCAGGAAAGGGGTGTCAGACTGTCCCTTTCTAGAAGGTTCTCGATGCTCAAGGATTGGTATCAGGATTCTCGTATGGAATAAACGTAACAGCGTGTAGCGTACGGCGAAAAGAGTCTAACAAGGAATTGTATTAGATAGCCCAGCTTTTCTTCAATAAAGTATATTTAAACACGAACACAATTTCTTATATTTAATCACAATTTCGACGGCTTTATTAAATCGACTAGCTCTATTCGCTATTTCTCGACAATACTCTTTATACGACTTAACCCTTCGACGTTTGTCTCCAGCCTCCCTCCTCTCTCTCTCCGTCTTCTCCTCTTTTCGGCGAGCTCGTTCTCTCACGAGGATCAACACATGCGCAATATCTTGATTCTAACACTCGTAGCCAATAGTTGGCTCTATATTCAGTGCAGTTACGAAGCTACACCTTACAACTCGTCCATTCTGACACTAACTTCGTCCCGAAGTTAACGCGGGAGGTACAACAGTTTATTTGGCTCTACCATGATCGGCATCTCTAATTTCCTTAATTCGACGGTATGCTTAATGATAAACGGCTTACATTGATACTTAAATCTATATGTTTTATATTTTTTTAACCTATAACTGTGTCATATTTTTTTTTTTTTCGATTGACGTTTCGACATATCTAGACAATAAATGTTTCTTAATACATATCGTATATATCAATACTAATATAAATTTCTTCACATTATCGGTTTCACCCACGGTTTTAATTTGTCCGCAGACATAATTGTATCAACCGGCCTAGATGTAAGGTTGAAACCCGGAATGTCACGTATGACGTATCGGCTGTTCCCCAGAACTTTAGCGACTAGGTAAGGACCCTTGTACTTAGGTTTCAATTTTGTACTTTCCCCTGGCTTAGACCTGAGATCTCTAATTAACACGTAATCCCCTTCATTATATTTCGACGGTATTTTCGATTTTGATTCTCGGTAATATTTATTATTCGCAACATGTCAGTAGCTTGCAACGCTTGATCCTTTAAATTATCCCTTTCTTTTTCCAGATCGACATCTACATCAGTCAAAACTTTGGTGAATTGTGATAACTTAAAATCAGAATGATTGCGCTGTTGGTAGCTAAGCAACAGCTTAAAAGAACTTGTCTTTATTGCTGAATGGTGAGTATTATTTATTATATATTGTAGTTCTCCCAAATGTTCTTTCCACTTATCTGGCGCGTTGATTGATTTAATCAATGAATTTTTTAAAAACCTATTTACTCTTTCTGCTATGCCATTTGCCCAAGGTGAAGCAACTGCAATTTTTCTATGCGTAATCTGACGTTGATTTATAAAGTCACAAAACTCCTTAGAGGTAAATGCTGTGCCTCTGTCTGAGATTATTTGACTAGGGTTACCAAACGTATCCAAAACTTGTTGCAGTGCTTCTACCACCTCCTTAGTTGCAGTGGTCTTTGTGGCTATCAACCACGTAAAACGAGTAAATGAATCTACCATCGCTAAAATATGTTTATATTTATCGCTTGTTTCAGCTAATGGTCCAAAATGGTCTAAATGTAAGGCTTTGAGTGGCGTTTTTGGAGTAGGATATAAATGAGTTTCTGCTTCCAAGTTGTGTGGAGAACTATTAACCATAAGACAAATAAGACAGTTATCTATATATTCTTTGATTCTTTTCCTCATCGTAGGAAACCAATAATTACTGCTAATGCCGTTCCCAGTTTTCTCTGATCCACAATGTCCTATCTCATCATGATGTGCACGTAAAAGCTTAGGAATCATTCCTTCCAGTATCACGAACTTTAAATTATCACCCTGTTTTCTGTAGACTAACCCATTGACTAATTGAAACTTTTCGCTGTCATTAAATTCTAACTGTTGGCTAATTTCTAGAATTCTAGGATCGGAAAGCTGACAAAATTCCAGTTGTCTTTCTACTGGCAGTTCATTAACATAAGAAACACTTCGACTAAGAGCATCAACATGCGTCATACGCTTACCAGGACGATGAGTAACATCGAACAGGTAATTCTGTAAAGCGAGTGTCCATTTCGCGATTCTCGGATTCAAATTTGCTTTCTTTATTGCATATACCAACGCATTGCAATCTGTAACTATTTTAAACCGGATACCGTACAAGTATAAATGAAATCTTTCAACGGCTCTTACGATGGCAAGCATTTCTAATTCAAAACTATGATATTTTTTTTCCGCTTCATTTGTAGACTGACTAAAATAAGCTATGGGCGACCAACACCCGTCTTTTTGTCTCTGCAAAAAAATTGCACCAAGACCCAGAGCACATGCGTCTGTATGCAGCTCAGTGTCTGCGGTTGGATCATATAAGCAAAGAATTGGAAAAACAGTAAGTTCTTTTTTTAATGATTCAAATGCTTCCATACACTTTGCATCGAAATCAAAAGCATTTTTCTTTAATAATTCTTGCAATGGTTTGGCTATCAGCGAATAATTTTTTATGAATCGACGAAAATAATTTGTTAAACCCAAGAACTGCTGCACCTGCGTTACTGTGCGTGAACATTTAAAGTTTTTTACTGCTTCAGTGTGTCGAGGACTGAAAGTAATTCCGTTCGCTGAAATCACGTATCCCAGAAATTCTATTTCGCGACGTAAGAACTTGCATTTCTTATAATTCAGCTCAAATCAATGCCTTCGCAGAAGAATTAACACGTTCCTTATTGTTTCTAGACCTCAACAGTTTCTGACGGAATAAGGATATCGTCGATATACAATAATATTTTATCCTCCCGTACCAACGGACTCAAGATTTGAATTAACCGTTTCTGAAATTCTGCGGGCGCTTCGCTATACCCGAAAGGTAAATACCGGTATTCATATTGCCCATCGGGCGTTGAGAAAGCAAAATACTTTGTATCCTCCTCGTGTACCTTGATCTGGTGAAAACTGTCTCGCAGATCTAATAATGTGAAAACTGATTTGTTTGCAAGTCTTGTTAGACAGTCCTCCACGAGCGGAAACGGGTACTTTTGCTTCTCAATTCTTTGGTTTAACGGCCTAAGGTCTATACATAATCTTAATTTACCCGAACGTTTTCTTACCGGAACGATTCTAGCACAATACGGTGACACACTTGGTTGTATTATGCCTCTTTGTAGAAGATCATCGACAATTTCTCGAATCTGTAAGCGTTCGGAATATGTTAAGCGTCGCGGTGTGTAAGCGTAAACAGACGGGTCCTTTAGATGTACTCGTACCGAGTAACCATCATCTACCGGCGTGATATCTTGTTTTTCTATATCTGTTATTACCGATTTCAATGTTTCCCTCGAATTGTGCCCGAAATCCACTGCGTGTTCGTCAAGAATTTCTTCTAGCGATTTCGACTCAGTGGTTTCCTCGATGCATAAAGGCAACAATGTAAATAAAGTTACACGGTTCTCTACTTCGGCCTCTGGTCGATAGACTAAGGTCAAATTTTCCTTTGACAAGAATTCGCGACCTATTATTATATCACCTTCAAATGTATCGTCCGATAATACAAATAAATCAATTTCAAACTCTATTTCTGACAACGGTAGATTTACTATCTTTGTCTTTGCGACTCCGACAATATCTATAGCTTGGTTACTTAAATTTCTAAGTGATCGACTCGACGGCTGTAAAGCTAAATGCGACGATTCGACATAATGCAAATACGCCTCCAATTTTATGAACGATACGGGGCTTCCTGTATCGATCAGCGCTAATAGCTTGCACTGCTTACCGCCCAGCTTGTTAACTTTAACAAACGGGTTGGTGATGACTAATCGGCTTCCCTTTTCTTCGACGATAGCAACTGCATCCCTAGGGGCTGTTCCCGATATTCCGTTGCTTGTGGAGGTATTCGACGGTGGTTTAACCGCCGTCTGCGTCCTGCCATTCCTCCTCTGCAAGGCTGGACATTCGTACTGACGATGGCCCTTTTCTTTACAGTAGAAGCAAGAAGCATCCCTTCGACACTCCCGGTGAGAATGACCTGTGCGTCGGCAATTTCTGCACAGAACATCTTTATTTTTAGAAATGTTTGTAGACGCCTGTGGTCGTTTATTTAAGTCGGCTACTCCCTCAGTGATCCACCTCATCTTTTCTAGAAATTCATCAGTGGTCTCAACCTGGATCGCGAGAGCAGTGGCTCTTAAGGAACTATTCATAATTCCACCAGCCAATAAATTAATAGCATCCCCTATCGAAAAATTATGGCGATGCATCAACGCTAGCTTATCTAGAGCATATTGATCAAAAGTCTCCTTTTGTGGTTGCCATTTCCTCGCCTCTATTTTCTGCATCAACTTAAAGAATGGTAACTGTCTATCGAACATTTTTATAATTTCTCGGCGCACCGATATCCACGATTCTAACGTTGTTCCAGATAAGGTATCGTACCAACGACGAGCTGATCCTATCAGCCGACTAGATGCGGCTAACAACGTCATCATATCCGGAATTCGCAAAAACTGTGCGACATGGTCGACTCGCTGTACCCATGCAGTCACGCTCTCAAATTCGGCTCCAGAAAACTCAGGTATCTGTGACGCGGCATTTGATATAGCAATTGGTCCCTGCATATCGTCTCTCGAACGCGGCGGCATTTGAGCATTCGTTCGTTGCTCTGAACTAGGACTCGATATCGTACGACTTCCCGACGGATCGTCGTTACCAGCAATCGGAGCTGTACAATTATCTGTCGGCGCATTCGGTGCTCCTCGATTGGTAGTAATAGCTCTTACCAAAAGCTCTATCTGTTGTTGTTGCTGTTGCAGGAATTGCTGCTGTTGCTGCTGCAAACGTTGCTGACGGTCAAATACACCTTCCATAACCGTCGTTAGAACCTTCTGCATCACAGCTGGAGTAAGCAGTTGTTCTTCCGCCTGGGCAGATTGCGGTTGTACTATAGGTGGCTGTTCGCTCTGTCTCACTCCAATGTTCGACCAAAAATCACCTCCAAGCAGCTCACCTACCGGGGCATGCCTTTCCAGGTGCGTCATGATTGCATCGATAATATCATTCCTATCGTTTAGGTACGGCAATTGATATGCTAACGCCTCCTCTCTTAATTGTTCCAGAGTCATCTGATCCAATGCACCTCGATTCATTTTCCTTCCTTCACAGAGATCTTGCTAAATTTGCACCGACGGACAAAACTTCTGTTTACGTATCGCGACTGAGTACGTATCCGATGGATCACACGTTTACATTCTCGTGATCACGTGCTTCACGAATGCCGACAAAAACTCTCGCGATGAGCACAAAGCGGTAAAGTGCGAGCTACGATCCCACTTCTGAAAAATATGTGGCTGTAAGATCTCTTTAGGATTCTATAGGTTGAACAAGATCTCTATCCAGGAAAGGGATGTCAGAATGTCCCTTTCTAGAAGGTTCTCGATGCTCAAGGATTGGTATCAGGATTCTCGTATGGAATACGTAGCAGCGTGTAGCGTACGGCGAAGAGTCCAACAAGGAATTGTATTAGATAGCCCAGCTTTTCTTCAATAAAGTATATTTAAACACGAACACAATTTCTTATATTTAATCACAATTTCGACGGCTTTATTAAATCGACTAGCTCTATTCGCTATTTCTCGACAATACTCTTTATACGACTTAACCCTTCGACGTTTGTCTCCAGCCTCCCTCCTCTCTCTCTCCGTCTTCTCCTCTTTTCGGCGAGCTCGTTCTCTCACGAGGATCAACACATGCGCAATATCTTGATTCTAACGCTCGTAGCCAATAGTCGGCTCTATATCCAGTGGTTACGAATCTACACCTTACACAGGTTTCCAAAAGAGATGAACTCCAAATATGAAAATGGTGGATTTTGTTTATTAGTAACTTATTTACAAATACATCTGAAGCTCAATGTAAACAAAAATAAACTACTCAGCATCCTCCTCATCGTCATCTTCCTGGCTGTTGATCTGGAAGTATCGTAATTCATAGGTATCTTTGTCTTTTGATACCACTCGCAGCCAATCACGTAACTTGTTCTTTTTCAAGTACTTCTTTGTCAAGTATTTGAGGTACCTATCAAAACACAGTTTTCCAGATTAGTGCAAATATAGTTCTTTCTATAGCTTATAATAGTAACGTTGCTTAATAATCACTATAATAATAATATCACTGTAATATTCATAAATCTATGATGGTCAATTTTGTGTTTAATTGTGTGTAAAAGAAACACGATGCTACTCACCGCTTCGAAAAGTCAACATCACTGTTGACGGAAAGTTTCATTTTGTTGCGCTCCAAAGTAACATTGTTACCAAAGTTACCTGTCTTACCGTTAACTTTGATCCTCTCGTGCAAATACTTTTCCTAAAATTAATATTTTGTAATTATTAATTTTGACAACGGTGGCAGAATACCAAAATCTAATCAGTCATCGCAATTTACAACAAATCATTTTTACATGCTGGTGGCAGGCTGGTACATATAGGTTATGAATTCAAGCGAATAAGTTGTGGTAACGATTTAGATATGAAATAAGGATTTAAGTAGTGTATTTATATCTTGGGAGAGGTATATTGTAATACATATTAAATGTTGAGGTAATGCTATGTAACTTACAAAATTAGCTACATCCATGATGTTATCCTCCACAGGATGAGTGCAGTCAATTGTGAATTTCACGGACACCTTCTTCTTTTGTCCTTTGCCGCGAAGGACTTGCTTCTTCGCGGGACCCTTCGATTTCTTCGGTGCCTAAAAATTCGTAAACATGACATTTTACACAACGATATTACTTTTGTTACTTTTGTATGGAACACAGGCGGGATCATGCGGTGTGTCAGACATACTAATCCAACATAATCGGGCCGATCTTAAAATAAAATAAGATCGTTATAGCACAATTGACAAATCACACATGCTTTTTCACGATTTTAATATTATTCCGAACAAATTTCACCATAATTGCCAATAATATTAGCATTTCCGACAAAGCGCAAACTCACCGGTGCCATATTTACGGATCCTCGAAATACGAAAAAGCTAAAGGCTAGAGCACAGACTTCTGCATAACGCATAATACACAACGCATAAGAGAATCAACCAATCAGAATTCTTTATTTCTGTCCTGAGGAGGGAAATGAAGAAAACTAATTGGTTTATTCTCTTATGTGTTATGTATTATGTGTTATGCAGAAGTCTGTGCTCTGGCCCTAATACGATAGGCTACAGAGTCACTTTCTCTCTGTCTCATCTGTCTCAAATGCTGGCTTCAAGAATGTAGAGTGGTAACGAAGCCAATAGAAGTGGTAGGAGATTATAACCAATAATAAAATAACGATATATAACCAATAAATCGATATTCGACTTTTCTCATTTGTCATAGAATCGATTATCTTCTTGATATTTTGGATTTAAGGTCTGCAGGAGCCACACTAGAGACCTCTCGCGGAGACCCGCGAACTAGGCAAAATTATATTGCAAATTATGAACAAAATACGAAGAGAATCACCTTATATGTATATTTGTAATCAGGAGAAACGTCTGCATGTTCGTATGAAGTGCTTTTTTGGAAAAAAGGTCTAAATAAAAATCGAATAAAAATTTTGAATGAAAGTGCATCCCGCGATGCAGGACGAGCCTATATTTTCATTTATTATAAATTTTCAAGAACCTAAATGCAAAATCGGGCTCTGTACCGATCTAGATACTAATATAAGGAAGATGCCTATGTAAGTCTGATAAGCAAATATGTCTGCGTGGCAAAATATGCTTTGATGCAGATTAGTGTCCCTAAAAGATAGAGTCTGGCCACAATACGTGTTTGTTTTTATTAGTCGAAACGAATTTTGTAAGAACATGGCGGAACCAATAGAAATTGTTACAGAGAACGTAATAATTTAAAAATGTAGTAGATAGATTTCTTTACCTAGAATCTGTCTATATTTCTATATATTTTTATCTAGATGTATGTATATGTAAAAAATTGGAGACAAAAGTGTTGTGAGACAGAAGAGAAATATAAAAAATAAGCAAGCCGTGAAAATGCGCGATCAGATGTAATATTTATTTGCTACTATAAATAGGATAGTGAATGTGGTAAAATAGAATTGAGAAACATTCTCACAAATATTCAGAAGTGGGGAAAGGAGTGAAATAAGAAAAGTACAAAGAGTTTGTATAACTCGTTTTTATAATTTAAACGAACAAATATAAACATTTTGTAACATTACGTAACAATAGAATGGCCATTGTTTTGCTATTGTGTATTGGTTTTACTAATTGCCCCTTTGTACACACAATTTTCATCCTATATGCAATAAATCGTCTCATAATTTTCAAACTTAATTGATGACAATTGTTAATGCTCGCACAAGAAACAATTTCCATTTTTTCCATAAAGAAACTAATTAAATTACATTAAAATTATTTAAATGAGGAAGATATTGCAGAATAACAATTTCCATGGCAATGAAATATTCAAAAACATCTTTGATTACAAAAAATAAAGTATTATTTCGAAAACATCTTATATATACAAATCTTGCATATTTAATACTTGCATTATATTTAGTTGAACCTGCAGAATTTAAACAACTTGCGCATATTGCATTTTTAGCACACTTAGCAATACTGTGTAACCAGCAACACTATATAATACATTTAATCCTATGTTATTAAAAGATATATGTTTTGAAATAATCTCAGGAGGAATATTGGGAAACTGTTCAACGTGTCTTTTTTTGGTTTATTCAAGAAGTCACATAGAAATTGTCTATCATCTTGGTCATAATTCGTATATTTTGATAGTTTAATATTTAATATAGCGAGATATACAAAGTTCTTTCAAGTCTTGCTTGAATTGTAAAACATTGGGTGTTGGATATTTAGCTCTTATTCCGGAAAAAAAATTTTTTACGCAATTCATCCACTCCATTTTTGGAATCACTCCAAAAATTATTTTACGAGATGCAAAATCTCGCATCGCCTCGTTGACGATACGTATAATTGCCAAACTGTTATAGCATCTTCCTTGAACTATCCCTGAGGACCCTACAAAGCCAGATTTTGCAATCCGGCCGTCAAAAATTTATAATATAAAAATAAAGCATCAGCCGTACCAGAAGTTGCAGCGAGTCAGGTGGAATACCATTTTACAAGAAGCAATATTTTGCCTTATTGACGTAATATATATGATCATGAACTTGTTATAGCATCTTCCTATAATTATTCCCGAGATCGCTATAGAGTCAGATTTTACAATCAGGTTGTCAACAATTTATTATACACAAATAAAGCGTCAGCTGTACCAAATATCGCAGCAAGTCAGGCGAAATACAATTTTACAAGAACAGATATATTGCCTCGTTGACAATATATATAACGCCAAGTTATTATGGTATCTTCCTCAAACTATCCCCGAGAACCCTACAGAGCCAGATTTTGCAATCCGGCCGTCAAAAATTTATCATATATTAATAAAGTGTGCGTCGTACGAAACATCGCAGCGAGTCCCACGAAATACCATGTTACAAGAAAAAATATTTTACCTCGTTGCTGTCATATATCAGTACCAAATTATTATAACATATTCCTCGATCTATCCCCGAGACCTCTACAAAGCCAGATTTCGCAATCAGGCCGTCTAACATTTATCGTATATAAAAGACTGTACCAGGCATTGCAGCATGTCACGTACAATACAATTTTGGAACATGAGAAATATTGTCTCGATAACGTAATATATCACTATCAAATTGTTCGGCCGTATTCCTTGTATTATTTTTAACGTTGCTATAAAGCAGGATTTTTATTATTAACACATACATATATTGGGTGAAGTAAAAAGTTCTGAGCGTTTTTTCTCTTTATTTCGACGATGAAATTAACAAAGTTAGGATTATCGGATTTAGATCAAATATGTTCCGTTTTGTTCGATAACTTTTGTCCATTTTGAAGGCAATTTCATAATTCCGCGATTGAAGATGTCCTCATCCCTATTGGTAAAAAACTTGACCAGCTCATTTTCACAAGCCTCTCTTGAGGCCAGTTTTGTACCATCAAGAAAATTTTGCAAATGCTTGAAAAGGTGATAATCGCTTGGAGCCAGGTCTGGGCTATACGGCGGGTGCGATATAACCTCCCATCCAAGCTCTCGGAGCTTCTGGCGCGTCGTCAAAAATGTGTACGACCTGGCATTGTCTTGATGGAACACAACACCCTTCCTATTGGCCAATTCTGGCTGCTTCTCGTCGATCATCTGCTTCAATCTGGTCAGTTGTTGACAGTGTAGGTCCGAATTGAGTGATTGGCCCGATGGGAGCAGCTTATAGTGGATGATTCCCTTCCAATCCACCAAACACACAGTAAAACTTTCTTGGCCGTTAATCCGGGTTTGGCGATCGTTTGGACCGGCTCACCACGCTTGGACCACGATCTTTTTCGCCTGTGGTTCTCGTATGTGACCCATTTTTCATCGCTAGTCACCATCCGCTTAAAAAATGGGTCGATTTCGTTACGCTTCAGCAAAGAATCGCAGGCATGAATTTGGTCCAAAAGGTTCTTTTGCGTCAATTCGTGTGGCACCCATACATCGAGCTTCTTCTTGAGATCAGCCTTATGCAAATGGTTCCAAACGGTTTTCTGGCTAATCTTCAGTTCCTGGGCAATGGAATAAGTGCTCGCATGCCGGTCCGACTCGACGATTTCCATGATTTTATCGACATTTTCGACTCGATTGGCCTACCAGAGCGTGTCTCATCTTCGACGTCCATATTACCAGAACGGAATCGTTGGAACCACCGCTTTGCTGTTGCATTCGATACTGTATTAGGTCCATAAACAGCACAAATTTTTTTGGCCGCCTGCTCCGCTTTTTCCCTTTGGTCGTAGTGGTACTGAAGAATGTATCGAATTTTCTCTTTTTTTACTTCCATTTTGGAACGCTCTAACACACAACTGGCTTTACCAAACACAAAATTGCCAAAGAACTTTTTTTAAAGCGTTATGTCACCTTTAAGTCGCAGTATAGAATGACCAGATGCGACGTATACATCGTGAGATATTTAGGGTTTTTGTGTCCTCTTGCTCTCTCGCTGATGCAAGTGGAGGGTAGGTTCCTAAATCAACCTAGGCGTGTTCTTCTTTGGTCCCTTTATTGCGCACGTGCCTGCCAGCTGCAGAGCACGTGAGTCACAGGTACAACTTATCGCTTACAACAAGAGAAAATAGTTCTCTGCGCTCGCACGACATATGAGCCACTGCGGGACTCGTATGTATATGTGTGTGTGTGTCGAACGGAGCCGATGCTCCTGCCTGCCCGCTCTCGCACAATCGCGACCGCGTGCAGATCTCGCGGTGTCACACACGACAAAAAGGAATAACTAACTATATACTAGCGATCGTATGTTCGTGAGCTCTGTGTGCGCTTCCAACGGTTACTGTTGGCTCGTTGGTCCTTTTTCCCGCACGAGTGACACTTGCGCGCGCTCTATAGCGCCGCACGGAAAACGGATGCGTGCGCTTTTGGGGAGCTCAAAGTCCCCACAGATATGACCTCACTAAAGCCATCTAGCAGAAAACGCTCAAAACTTTTTACTTAACCCAATATATTATAAACGACTGTACGGGACAACAACAGGTAACTGTTAACTGTTAACTCCTACAAGGAACCATTAAAGTTGTTGAAATATTAGAAGTTTATTAATGAATTTATTTTTATGTCTTATATTTCAGGCCCGATTTTGTAAATATATATATAGGATGCTAAATTTCAAACGTAACAGGTAAAAAATCTCGAAAACTATGAAAGATATTAAAAAAGCTAAAACACGTGTTCCATGATTTCAAAGTGGAAAGAGAATGGCATTATCAATTTTTTATTTGGACGGTATTTTCAAGGTCAGTTGAAGATCAACTTAATTTTTTTAAATAGAAAGTCCAATTTTTTATTATATTTTCTTTTTCTACCAATTAATTTTAACAACTTTTGTCTGAAACGTTTTTTTATTTGCCTAATATTTTTTGAAATATTTTATATTTAAGGGAAACTTGCTAACTTTCTCAACATTTCTGAACATTTAACTTACGATGTCTCCCTAACTATTCGTCAAAAGAAAAAATAGTATTAGACTTTTTTATTTTAT